GCGCCGCGGGCGGCCCGGCCCCTGCTGTCCCTGGGCTTCTGGGCCCAGCCGCCAAGCGCAGCCAGTGGAGCCTGATGGCCCCCCTGCAGGTGGCCGCAGGGCGCGGGTGGTGACACCTCTGTGGGGCGCCTAAGAGTTCACCGTCCTGCCCTGAGGGGAGTCCACCTGGGTCCCGGCTCAGGGCATCTCCTGGCCGGTCCCAGGGAGGCCTGACCCCTGGCGGGGGGCCGGCGGAGGAGGGAGCAGCCCCCCAAAGGCCCAGCCCCAGACGGGTGGCTCCAGCGGCCAGGGTCAGGGCATCTGAGGGGGGTCCCCAACCCCTCCCCCCTCCCTGCCCTCTGCCCCCCACACCTGGCCACGGTGGGCCGCGCCCGAGTCCCCCACACGCTCCCACCAAGCTCCCCAGGGAGCCCCGGGGACTCGCCTCCAGCCCCGCACAGCTGAGGGGGGCCCTGGTGGGAGGGGGCCCTGCTTCCCGCGCCCATCTGCCCAGCAGGCCCTGGGCTGGGCCCCTGGACACACGCCAGCTCCTGAGCTCGGTCCTTGGTCAGAGGCCCCCTGCAAAGGCATTTTGGGGAGTTTCAGGTGGGCGGAGTCCAGCGTCCTGTGCCAGCGCCCAGCGCCCAGCAGGGAGGTGCTGGCCCGTGTACGTGGGAGGGGCTGTTTGTCCAGCACCGTGGGAGCCATTGCCCGGGTTGGGCTCCCCGCCACCCGGCAGCACCCCGCCTCAGCAAGGCACCAGCGCCCCTCAGCCTCTGGCCTCGCGCCCCCCCCTTTCCCACACACCCAGAGGGGCAGCAGAGATGTCTACTTTTTTTCAGGCACTGGCCATTGTGGCGCCCGGCTCGGCCCGTCCTCGCCGCACAGGCCCAGGGTGCCGGCCCCACGCTCCTGCCCACATGCTCTGCTGGGTGGCGGCCGGGCGCCAGCCTGGGTGCCCGGCAGGGCGGCGGGGGCCTGCGACTGGGTGGCCACGCGGACGGTCTGCTGTCCCTGCCGGTCAGGGGTGCCAGGTGGCGGCAGCCCCAGCTCGCTCCCCACCCGAGGGCCGGTCAGGGTCACGGGCCCCCGAGCTGGGCCCCAGGGGCACCCTGCACCTCCACAGGCGTCAGAGGTCACGGGCCGGCAGGAGTCCACTGCACCCTGCTCCTCCGGCCCGCGGGGCAGCTCCTGGCCTCCACGGGCGCCCGCTGTTGGGGTGACAGGAGGGCCAGCGCCCCCAGAACGCCTGCCCCTTCACTGACGGGACAGCAGAGCCCGGCCGGGAGTCTGGCAGGCCCTGGGGGGGCTGGCTCCGGCGCCCCGGCGCCCGACACCAGGTGGGAGGGCGTTCGGAACACCTGGCGGGCGGGGGTGCCCCGAGCGCCCGCCCGCGGACTCGCAGGCCCTGAGCATGTTGTCTTGGTTTTCTGTTAATCATTTTATCATAGAAAATTTTCTTTGCGATTACTGGGGAAAAGTCAGCGTTTCGCACCATGACTCGGCTGGTGCCAGGGTGAGGGGCCCCGCAAACTTGCTGCACCCACACCCCCTCCACCCGGCCCGGGGCCCCCTGTCCATGGGAAAGGCCTGCTTTTCCTCAGTGTCAGCTTCATGCTGGAGGAGCAACTGCCCCAGGGCCTGTCGGCTCCCCAGCCCCCTCTGTGGGGTTCAGCCGAAGGGGGACCCCAGAGCCCCGCCTGCGGGCTGCAGGGGGCAGGGCCCCGTCAGACGCCCAGGGGGCGGGCGTGGGGCTGTGCTGCGGCCCCCTGCAGAGCCCCGCTGGCCTGCTGCCCGCCGTGGCCTGCCAGAGCGGGCCCCCCCAACGGAGCGGCCGCTCGCCGCCCGCGCCTGCTGGTCAGCAAAGCCCAGGTCCAGCAGCCCGACCCCGACGCGCACGCCGTCCTGTGTCCCGGCCGCAGTTAGCAATGACCGTGGTGGGCTCCTGAGCTGGCCTGCCGCTCCAGCTGGGTCTTGCAGGGGCGGCCTGGGGAGGGCGGAGGTCACGCTTCTGGCTCCTGTTGGCGAGAGCGTCCCCGAGTGACCCCGTGCTCACAGGGCAGGGACATGGGGTGCGCCTGACCACTGGGATCTGGCCGGTTTGCTGTGTCCAAGCAGAAACCCAGGCCAGGGCCAGGCAGCTCCGGGGGCTGGTCGGGGTGTGGGAGAGGCCTCAGTGGCCAGAGGAGCGCTGTGGTCAGCGGGGGAGGGGACACCCCACTCAGCGTCCAGAGTCGGACCCAGCTCAGGCCCGGGCGGGTGCGGGTCTGCGGACGCTGGCCGTTGCCCGGCGGCACAGGGCGAGCTGCACCCCCACGGCCGCGTGGCCC